TGTAAATGCATACAAGACAGTAGAATTTCATTTCCATCAAAGGATAAAACAGAGTTTGTAGTCATTAAATGCACATGCCCTCTAGCATAAGAGTCCTGTCCTTCTCTCTAGCTAGGTTTCTAGCTGTTATAGAAGAACACAGCAGATAAAAGACTTCTGATTACAGAGTATAGATGATACCAGGCATGAGGCAGATGTTCTACAAACCTTTCTTCTGATGATAAAGGTGGCTAAAGCAGATCCCACCTCCATCCTTACTCTGCCATCATTTGCACCAGCAAAACTATCTGGAGGCAATGAAGTAATTCCACGTGGTTCTTTTTTTCTTTTTTTGCACCACAGAATTACTCAGTTTAGATTGTATAGTGTATAGTCCTCTCATTAATTCAACTGAGAACACTGTTACAGAGTAGAAATGAACAGCCAAAGAGTTTGAACAATTTAAGTTTTCCATCAAGAAAAGTATGTATAGAACCAAGGTTTCAACTGTCATGTACAGTTTTTGAAAATCAACTGCAGATATTCAGTCAGGAAATGAAAAGATTCTACGTGAAAGTTTTATAATGAAAAAAAAAAAGCTTCAGAAAAAATACCGGATTTTCTTTCACTATTAAAGTTTCCCATTCTGAAGATAGAGACTTTCCTTATAACTCTTTACCATTATGACAACTAGCACCTGAAACAAAAATTGACAGAATCCTTCACAATATTACTCTACATGACACTGGCAGCAGTGTGAAGTTGAGTGTGATCACAGCAACAGTCAATTCTATTGGTTCAGGGAGTTTTCAGTTCAGGTCAATTTTATCTTCAGATCCTCATGCTCTTGAATCACAGAAGTAAAGAAAACAAAGAGAAAAAGACAGTAGAATGAAAGTCTATAAAAAGGAAACAAGTGCAGAAAATTTTAGAAATTACTAAAAGCTCTTCCTGTTCTCCAAGAATACAAGCCCATACAGCATAAGGTATATGAGCGATTCTCCCCTGCCTGTCTTAAACCCAAAGAAGCTTTGTACTGTTTGAGATACATTTACTTCATGAACTCTAGAGCATATCACAAGGTCCTTCAAGACACGAACTTCATACCCAACTTACGTCTTATCAAAAAAACAGTGGGGTTTTTTTTAAATTTAAAAATAAAAAAAAAATCCAAACTTTTTTCCCCCTTGTTGACAAACTTCTTTGTCCCAAGAACTTCTGACTAAGTGGTATTTTAAAGCCTTCTTTAACTGTTTTCTCTTTTCATCACTCCTCTTTTTTCTTCATGTTAAATCCAATCCTCTCTCCTCCAGTTCCTACTAAAGAACTACTTGTCATCCCCCTTGATTGTTGTAACAGCTGTTGCTAGTTTGCCAATCAGTCAATGCAATGTCTCATTTTTTTTCTGTAGTTTCTTCCTCATTTTTTGCATTACAAATCAGAAAGCATATCTGAGCAAATACTTCCTAAGTTATAAGTATTTACTAGTGAGTCTAAGGAAAGGTGGTAAAACCTAATCCTTATTCTAGCCTTGGTGTACATAATCCTAGCTATTGCTGAAGTAAGCCCTAACTAGTCAGTCTTTATTTAAGAAAAAAATAAAATCTTCATTCTAGAGCACTTTACAACAATCTACAATTCCTTTTCCCAGGGCCACATAAGCCACAGTAAATCTTTTGCAAAGTGAAGTAAAATTAATTAGTCTTGCAGCTGCAAATGAACATATTTTACTTCCTACTGCAATGGACTATGAATACATTCACAGTTTAGTCTGAAAGTCAACTGAAAATCCAATTAAATTAGCAGTATCTTTTAAGTGAACAGACAGTACCTTCCTACCCATGGTACCTAATTCACAGACTATCCTGTGCCAGCACCCTAAATTAGCAGCAGATTTGCTGAAATAAAAAACTATGAATCTCTATTGAGTATCGCTCTTTTCTTCAAAGCTTGATTTCCCCTTAGACCATCAGTTAGTATCTTTCAATTCTCATCTGTGTTTTTTATCCCCTTAAGTTAAAAATATTTTAAAAATTACCAAAAAGTATTAAACAGACTTTGCTTCTGTTAAGATTATGCTTCATATCTCTTGTTATATCAAGTTGCAGTCCTAAAAATAGAGGCAGGCCTTGCCATCAGATTAAACATGTATGTAGAGTCTGCAGGAACAAGGCTTGAATGGACTTTATCACTCATAACATTAGATGGTTGTCACTGCATAAATCAGTGCAATTTCAGGTAATTTTGCTAACAGTTCAAATGCTTTCATCTGAAATCATACAGATAATGGTCAGTCTATCATAAAGACATTATATATGCCAAGATAATGCCTCTCAGAGTTGAGTTGGTGGTGTTTCAGTTCAAACTTCAACAAGTTTCACACCTACTACGACCTAGGGACAGTGTCCACTGTCAATTACCACATGCTTCATTCTGCATTCTTCCTCACCTCACTTGCTCTGAAAGTAGATAAATCCTTGCTGGATGGCTACCTTCTCCCAACTGTGCCCTGCTCTCTGCCTTTGGAAATAGCTGATATTCTTTTGAACATCTCAATGTTACCCCATCCTAAGGCAGAAGAGGTTTACAATAAAAAGGTAGAGACTGGTGCGGATAGAGTACTTCAGCAAGAATGTCGCTATTTCTTCCGAGATTAAATCAATTTGATTTTTAAAACTGCTTTAAAGATGGAATTAATTCTGAATACACAGAAGAACTGTTAATGCATAGGTGTCAATCAGAAGGGAAGAGCAACCTGACTGCTTCCCATTTTGTGTTCAAAATGCTTCTACTTCAACTATTCCATGTGTCCAGATCACATACAGTGAGATGGCTGCAAGTCTGCCCGCTGCAGCTTTGCACTGTCAAACAGACATGATGGCATATCCCGGAACACAGCTCAATGTTCTGGCTTTCTTTTACCCTTGGAGGAGGTAAAAGCTTCAGCTGGCAAAAGTCTTGGGTATTAGTATGGACAAGGACCTGGAATAGAGAACCACCATGTGTGTGACTCTCCTGATTTTTGTAAACTGTCCCTACATTCAACTAATTAAGGGAAAGTGATGCTTCTCTCATTAGACTGATACAACACAAACATGATGAACAGATTTCTCTAAGGGGTATTATTTAAGACTTTTGCAGAAACACTTCCTATTGAACAGACAATGTTGAAATATGCTTGTTTGCTGAAAGTGTGTTTGCTTAGCCGTGGAACTTTTATTCAACAGGAGACCATTACAGTGTCATAACATTCGATTTCACTTACATTACTGCTTAATTAACACTGGAACATTTAGCAGCTATTAGAAGAGACATTCTCAAGCATCCTAGATTTTAGCAGAGCACACAGGCAGACTACATTTCACGCAATACTTCAGAAATACAATTTGAATTAACAAAATACCATAATCTTTGACTCAATTCATATTTCTAGATGAAAAGTATTTGCAGATATTCCATGCTGATCTTTCTAGATGCTACAGTAAAGAAAACACTTCCCCTGCTTTAAAAGAATCTTTGCAAATTTGGTCTTTGTAATAGATGGGGTACAAGGTACAAGGGGTACAAGGCACTAGATAAATTAAATCCCTAATGTAGTTAGTAAAGCAGACAGGTTCTCCCACTAAGACAAATTAAATAAAAGACTGCTTTTCTCACAGAAAGCATATACTTAGGCACATATTTAGATACATAACAGTGCATGTGTGTACTAAACCAAGAACAGTCTTCTCTGTCTGACAAAATATTAGTCCTCAAAAAACCCTAGTCTTACACTATCTATCCTTTAATTCCTAGATTCATAGTCCAGAATTAAAAGGTCCATGTGTAAAACTTGTTTTCTTTACAGACCTGAATGACAGAACGCAAATGCAGAAGAACATATCCATGACTTAACAGAGCTGCAAGTCAAGTCTTGTATGAAATTATCTTTATTGCACAAAAAAAAGTGTAATTTAACGCTTTAGTCATTTTGATAATTTGCAAACCATGACTCTGCTAAGCCTATAGAATATATTAATTTTAACTTTGATTGCTATCTTTAATACAGTAAAACACTGTTATAATGTAAAAAAATAGATCACACCCACGCCAACATATTTTAAAAAAAACCAAAATCCAGAAGTATTGTCTCCCAAAACTCTTATTCCAGCATTTATCACAGACAATAATTATTATTAGCTACACTATAAATATTCTCATATACTAAATTTCATAGCCTGTTCACCTCAATGCATTAATAAATATTTTGCTTCTGTTTCTTAAATATCTGTTTTACCTGGCATGAGTTGTAATGTAGGCTGTAGCTTCAAAGTCAACCACAATACAACAGTATTTTACTGTTATGACTTTACTATTATGACAAAAACATGTGCCTAGAATTTGACATTTTCTCATTTAACAAGCAAAGTGAGTATGGTAATTATACAGGATTTAAGAACCTCTTTCCTTTGCCCCCAGTATTAAAATTGCATTTTCTAAGATTAAAGTTATTGAGTTTTCCATATTGACCTGTCAGTTTAGTAAATACAGCATTTCTAGAGACTGCGTGTAAAACACTGATATGTATTTTTTGGAAGTGCCAGAAGAGCAGAAAGGTACTTTCAACCTAGCAAGGACAGTAAGTTTAATGACAGTATAACAAATGTTAGGGTGAAAGAAAGACTTCAAGCGCTACAAATTGGAAGCAATACAGAAGAATACGCTTAATAATGCTGGGGAACTTTCTTGCATAGATTTACCGATAGAGAACTAGGAAAGACCGGGGGGAAAAGTATCTAGATGTTATAGAAGAAAGGTATCTGTGTTTCATTAGAAGGATTTTCCAAGGTAATTCTCTTGTAAAACTTGCGCTGGTATCATTTTAATACAATATACAATGCAATGTGGAAAATATACAAATACAACCTTCCCCAGCCAGCTTTATACAATCCAGTATGTCATGGAAAACATTTTTAATATTCCTTCTATTTCAGAGTTGGTTTTTCTTTTCCTCCCCAAAAATGCCACAACCCTCTACAGCATTTTCTCACAGTCCATGTTTTATTAAAGACACACAACAAATCCAGATGTCAAGACATCAGTGTTTTGTAAATCTCTGATAATACATTCAGCTACCAATTTATCAGCTGTGTGGAAAGTCATACTTTTGTTCTGGAGGAAGTGCAGTGTTAACATTAAATACCATTTAATGCTAACATTTTTACAGAAACTGAGGAAAAATCCAAAAGTTCTATTATTCTGAATTTTTAGAAACCCTCATTTGGACAGCATAGAATGGAATTCACTTCAGAAGTCAGCAGCAATGCTCGTAAGAAATATTTGAATACCCTGGCATGCAAGGATAAAGGAAGTGTCTGACAAATGTATCTATAATAGTGAAAAGAGCAAAGTTGGGATACAACACAAAAGGATTTCCTAGGGACAACTACAGCATCCAATACAAGAAGAAAACAGACTAGTTTCACAGTTGCGAATATAACTTTTGTGAAGCTCACCATTTTCACCAACCTGGGAGACACACACTCCAAGCTCTTTTAGTATTTAGACCAGCGCTTCATTTATCCCTCAAAGGAGCACAAAACTATGTTGGTGACAAAACTTAAGACTACATAAAGCATATGTATATAAAAGCCCATACATTCTTTACAATTTTAATTATATGTTATTCTATGCAGTAGTTCTTAAAATAGAATATTCTATTTAATTTGTGAAGGTAATCTCTTATTTAATTCAATTTCTGGCATTTTCCTTAAGTATGTCTTTGACTAAAATAGTGGGAAACATTTTGTCTCTGGAAAAATATATCACAAGCAGAAGATTACATTGTGTTGCCTCTTGTTATGCCAACTTTATTATACTAAAACTTTTACAACAAAATACAACAAGTTTATGAAGTTACTGCATTAGTTTCTCATCAAACATTTTCAAGTTAGGTAAGAAACATGAGGAATGTGGAGAACCAAGAGTTTTGAAAATAAAGTTTAACTCTACAGAAGCTGATTTATTTATCATTTCGTTACTGAAGTCCACTGTTTACACTAGAAAGTTATTACTACAAAAAAACCCAACTACCTTAGCTGTTTAGTTATTGAAGGATGACAAGAGGAGTGTAGTTACACCACCTGATATCCTGTCTCCACAATATTAAACAGTAAATATTTTCAATCAGTTTAAGTGGCATAAAGAGACATTAAATTCAAATATTAGGTGGTTAGTAGCATAAAACTCAAGTTCAATTATCAATTCAGTCAAATAATATCAGTAGAAGATGGAAGAACATTTCGCTGGACAATATGCAAAATATTGTCTCCCCTTCACTTCGGTTTCACACAAATTTCTGCAGCATTTAGCTATATTTACCTATCAAAGGAAAATTGAGGAAAATACAGTCTTCCCTTAACCAGTGCTCTAAAACTGGGCAAAGGCTGTCCCAGTGCTGCTACCCAACTAACAACTCAAACCACACACCTTTCAGAAGTGTTACCATCATTGTAATGTAATTATTAAATATTCTAACACTCTATTCAATTCCCTGGAAGAGTGGAGCTTACTATTTTAAGAAAGACTGCCTATTTAAATGTCATTAACTATCCAATTAGTGCAGTCTGCTCTTTGCTAGCTGCTGAGTACTGGGATAATCTTTTAATTGTTAACCACTATTGAATAATTTTAGCAATTACGCTTTTATACATTCTGTGCTAATTAAGACAGACTACGCCTAGAATCTCATCATTTCCAGCACACAGTGACAAACAGAAAGACGATCAATGGTCGATAAAATACGCGTGTGACCAGTGGTAACGTTAACGACGTAGGACACCGTCTTCAGCTGTAGCCGCCGCAGGAAGGCGCGCACCGCCCGGCGCACTCCGCGCACTGCCCGCCGCATCCACCCATCCCGGACCCATTCCGGCCGCCGAGGTGTGGGCTCAGGGGCACCGGGCCACTTCGCACCGCGCCTACGGGGCTCTGCTCGCAACGCTGCTTAAGCCGAAATAAATCACCGCCACCGCTCCCCACGGCTCCACCTGCCGGGCGCCCGCGCCCCGCAGCGCCCCGCTCGCTTCCTCCTTCCCCGGGGGGCCGCCACCGCGGGGCGGTCAAAGCCACCCGGCGCCCCAGCGCGCACCTTCCGCGCAACGAAGGGAAAGCGCCGTATCCGTCCCTCCTCCGGATCAGCAAGTTTCTCTCCCTCCTAGGAGGAGACGTGCCTCTGGGGGCTGCTGCCGGGCTCTCGCAAGCTGCCGCCGGGCACAGGCTCCCCGCAAGGCAAACCCTTGGAGGACCTGGAAACAAAGCGAAATTACCTAAAAGGGCACAGGTCTGCGCGGCACCGCCAGTCGCCCTACGCCGGCGGGCGAGGCGCCCCTCCGCTTTGCCTCCGCAGGACGGTGCCTGTTGCACGGGCCCCGCGGGTTCCCTGCAGGGCAAAAAGAAGTTCGCTCCGCCGGGCGGCCTCACCGCCCCCGCTCCGCGAACTCGCGTGGGGGCTCCAGGCGGCGGCCCCGAGCGGCGGCAGAGACCCGCGGCTCGGACAAGCCCCCTCTCCTGCCAAGGTCTGAGCTACGCTCCGCAGAGTGGGACCCCCCTTCTCCCCCTCCCCGACTTCCCTCTGCGCAAAACCAATTAACCCCGAGCGGTCGCCCTCCTGCAAAAGACGAGACAGGGAGTGCGGGAGCCGACAGGAGGCAAAGTTTGATGAATGAGCGGCTCCTGCGGTGACAGGTGACTACGGAGCGGAGGCATCCTCCGCGCCCGGCCGGGCAGAAGTGCGGGAAAGAAGCACTCACCTGTCCGCTGTCCCTCCGGCAGCCGTGGAGGGAAAGGAGAGAGACACAGCCCCGCGCTCTTTTTCCCGTCCGTCGGCCCCAGCGGCGGGCAGGATGCCGGGCTGAGGGCCCGCAGAGCGGCGGGGCCGACCCGGGCTGGCACCCGTCAGAGGAGCAGGTGAAGCGGGGAGGTCGCCGCCGCCGGAAAGCAACACGTTTGGCTCTGAACTTTGCAGCTCCAGTCACAAACAAACAAATACAGCCCAGGAAGGACCTCTCCCATCAGATCCCAGACTGCTCGGCAGCCGCTGCCTCTCTTATTGGTGCGGAGGTTATTTATTTATTTGATTTCTCCCTCCCCCCCCCCCCCCCCCCCCCCCCCCGTCCACACACCCCCTTTCCCTTCCACTTCCCCTTCCCTCCCCCCGCCCCGGCCTTCCCTCCCCTCCTGCACGCCGCCCAGACAGCCGCGGTCCCTGCGCGCCGCACAGCGCAGCAGCAGCTCCTCTGCGGCCGCCGGCAGCGCCGGGTGCCGAGCGAGGGGCGGGCGCGCTGCGGGGAGGCGGGAGCGGAGGCGGGCGGGAGCGGGGCAGCCGCCGCACCACTGCCGGGCGATAGCGGAGAGCGGGAGGGAGATGCTTCCGCACGCCCCGTCCCCCGCACCGGAGAGCGGAGGCGAGACGGTGATCCCCGCCTTGCCGCCGGTCACCGCAGGGACAGGGCGGCCGGGCAGGGGGGTGATTGGTGACCGGAGCCGGGAAGGAGGGTGGCCGACGCGTACCGGGCGGCTGCCGCGAGGAGCCCGGGGTACCCCGCGGCGTTGTTTTGTGGCCCTCGCCCATGGGGACCCCCGGCGGCCGAGGAGCGGCGGGAGCGGGTTCACCGCGGTGCGGGAGCGGCAGCGCCGGGCGAGAGCGAGGGCACGGGAGGGGATGCCGCTCTCGCGGTGTGCGCGTACGGGAAGGCTCGAGTGTGTGTGTAAATGTTTCTCTGTGTGTTCACGAACGTGTGCCTCAGGTAACGTTGCACGGAGCTTGCTTTCAAGGAGACCCCAGGCTCTGTAGCCGCAGTGTACTTGGTATGCATCGCTTTTACATTTTGCTGTAGCTTATGCGTGATCAGTGCAGAGCAAGCTTTATTTCACCTCTGTCTTATCGGATGCTGAACCTTTGTTTGCTGGGTTTTGTTGCGTTTTTCTTTCCCCGTCCCCTAAATCCACATGCAACTCGAGCAGCACGGTAGGTCTCACCTGTCCATTCCTGAGGGCCAAGTACACCACTACGATTATCGTAAGGAAAGGAAACATTAGTTAAAAGCTGCGGAGGTATGACTGCATGAAGGATTTCCTTCACTGCACCTGCAGTATCCGTCCTAGCTCGGCTTCTCCTTGCAGCTGGCAATGGAAAAAAAACGTTTCTGTCCCACAGTGGCTGTTTTTATAACGCTATACACACACGTGACAGACACAATATTGACATTCTTGTCTTCTCTCCCATCTCTCTCCCTTTAGAAATTAGAGTTCAAATTAGATATCCCAGTGGTAGAAGACAGAAGTTTAAAATCTGTGAAGTTGGTACAAACTCTGCCAAATGTTTGGGGGGGGGGGGGGGGGGGGCAGTGTGCGTGTGGGTTATTTGGTTGGTTGGTTTTTGCTGGATAAAATTTCCACCCTGCTCCCCTGGCAGTAAACAGACATTCTGGATGTTCTTTTTTACTTCCAGGGAAAAAAAAATACATCACAACAATAGACAAACAAGGAAATAAAAAATGTGGGTAGAGATTAAACAGTTATTCAACAGTATTACTAGGAAATAAAGCTTAAATTATACCTCTATTCAGGTGACAAGACATAGAGATGTAAAGAGTGCTTTTATTCTAAGTCCGTCAATGAATTTATGTACATTCGTCATTTCAAACAGACATTACAAATCTTTCTTGTGCTGCAACTCTGTAATTCTACCTTTTTCAACTGAAGACAATAAAGATTAATGTACATTTTGTCTTCAGTAGTAAATCCTATTGTCAAATGGGGAGAACTTTTTATTCAAAGAATTAGATCAATAGTTGACTTTGTTTTGAAGCTTTTATTTAAGAAACTACTTAAAAAGAATGAAGTTCATGCTCTTAACATCCTTAAAGAAATTTCTCAAAGGCAACTATTCTGTTTACCAATCTAGCGGTCACTGCCATGTAGCAACAAAAAGCATGAAAGCTAGATGTGGAAATCCCTTTGGGTTCAGACAGTGCTTTCTCAGTGGAAGAGGAACAGTAGGAAATTAAAAAGTGAAAAGCACTTTAAAAAAATCTATCTGAATATTTTAAAGAGCTTGCTTTGAATAGGTGAAGTTTCATCTCTAACCAATAAGCTTCAAGGTCAATGAAATGCAAATGACAAATGTGTTCCCTGCCTGAAAGAATGCCACCAACTTTAGGTAGTGTTTAGTTAACAATATTAAAAAGTTGACAGTCTGACTGTTACTTTAATTTGTAAACTCTGTGTTCAGCAAGTATTTGTTCAGAAGAGCAGAGAGTGTCTTCCACTGGAATAAACTACTATATTTTCAAAATATAGGAGATTAATGAAGAAACTACTTTACTAATGATGGGCCTATAACAAATACTTGTAAACGTCAGTGAGAAGACACTGAATGATTTCAGTTAAATTTGGTTTGACACTTATACTGTAATACACTATTTGAAATTTCAGCTGTTTCTTAAAATCTTAAGAAGCAATTTCATTATGAGTAAACCAAGACTTTTATTTTTGTATGCATTCTAAGAAAAGGAAGCACTGTGTAAAGCCCATAACAAGATTGATCATATACTAGCACATTAGATCTACTTCCGTCAAAATTAATTTGTTAGGTCACTGGATACAGCTCCATAGGACTTTGATTTGACTAAGTCAAGCTAATAATGAATTTAGTGGCTACTTAATATATTGACTGCTCACTGGAGTTATGCAAGCAGAATATTATTCTGTGTTGTAGAGTCATAGCTGAGAAATATGTAAGATGGCTAGGAATAAATAGCTTAAGTTAAGAAAACCAGGCATAAGAAAGGAATAAAAACAAAAAGGAAAAAGAGAAAGCAAGGCTATGTTTTTTAAAATTTCATCTTGTGTTTTTTACTTACCTTCATTTGGCTTCTTTCATAATTGAAATTCCTGTGATCTCAGACTTGGCATTTTGGTGTTTTAAAGGGCTTCAGATTGAGACTGCTAAAAAAAATTAAAATAAATAAAAGCAGTCCCCACTGCCACCCACCAATACTGATACAACCTTAAAAATAGCTTGCTTTATTCTCATATACTCTTTTTTGTCTGTACTCTTAAAATCATACTTCTGAGGGCTTAAAGAGCTGCTAACATTCCATGTAGCTCCTGATACGCATCCCGTGTAGCATGTTGTACTTCAGAAATCCATTTAATGATCTCAGCAGAAAATCAAATGTATGTGTTAATAGTTTAAAATCAGTCAAATGTGGGCAAGTTCTATTTAAATATCAAGAGAGACAGCTCGTCTATAAGGAGTTTCTCCAAAACAAACATTGTTTTTTGCCCTTGGCCACTTTATCTGTGCAGGAGGCTTTTTTTAAAAAAGACAGATTTTTCCTCCATATCTGAACAAGCAAGTTTCCCCTCCTTTTTCAATTTCTCTTTGGGAGCTGAAATGCTTTTGATCACAATTTATAAATATGTCAGGCAAAGCTGTGAGTAAACTAGCAAGAATATATCGGACAGTTTTACCTTTAAAGTTGTGCAAAAAAAACCTTACGCTGGCATGTGTTATAAAGACTCAAGAATTCTACATCACTGCATGTTAAATTTATGGGTGGATAACATTTAATATATTATGAAATCTTACCTAACTATTATGGTCTTTTACAGATTTAAGGAATAGGTTTTTCAGCTAGCCAGGATTTGGAATATTTTACTACTATGAGCAATTCAAAGTCAAGAAAAGCTAGGAATTCTCCCTTTTTCAGAGGCAATAAGCAATGTGTGGCATTTACCTTAGCCTATCCAAGGGCTACTAGACAATTGCGTCTTTGGACTGTTCTCCAGTTTATATAAACAAAGATGAATATATAAAACTGATCAGAAGTGTGCTAAGATTTCATATTTTAAAGGGAATGCATGTCAATAAACAGATATGGAAGAGAGAAAAAACATAAAGACTGGACAAAAGAAAGAAAATCTGTAACCTTTTAAGGAAATGTTGATACTCTCAAGTTGTTCTGTTGAAAAAAGAGATTTTGCTTCCCTGTGAATTAAACCTTTAAGTTGAGTTGATATGAATACGTTTCTATAGTAAGTTCTGGGTCTGACCACCTCTGGTAGCGGGAAAATGATTTCTTCTAAGGAAAAATATAACCACACATGAGGTCAATGGCTTCTAGATAAAAAAGAAAGAGGCTGCCTTTGGTAGTGGGAATTGTTTAAAATCTACTTCTGTTCTGGTAACTATGATGATCTTCGTCTTCTGACCTCATAACAGTCTACAACTTCCTAAAGGGAGGCAGTGGAGAGGCATGTGCTGATCTCTCTATTGATAGAGACATGAACCAGTACAACACAAGTACAACACAAGGAAGCTGTCAGGGGAAGTTCAGGTCAGACATGAGGAAAAGGTTTACCACTGAGAGTATGACATGGAACAAGCTCCCCTGGGAAGTGGTCACAGCACCAAGCCTGTCAGAGTTTAAGGAACATCTTGATAATGTTCTCAGTCATATGGTTTAGTTTTAGGTATTACTGCAAGGAACAGGGATTTGGACTTGATTATCCTGATGGATCCCTTCTAACTTGAGGTATTCTATGATCCTGTTCTATGAAAGATAGGGATCTCATATGGGCCATTTTTATGTATGTCATAAAGGGAGCTGAAAAGAGTACTTTTTTGTGTATTTTGAGGATGCTTGAATACTGTTCACTGCAATGATACATTGTAATTGTCATGATTCTCTGGGATTTGTTCAGGGAATAGTGCTGCCCAGGTCAGAGCTGTAGAGCTGAACCAAAAAGCTTCCAAACTGATGAGTTTATGAGCATGTTGATGGGTGGCCTACTGCTGCAAAACATGGCTGAATTCCTGAAGTTGAAACTGATGTGAGTTGGATTATAAGTGTTCTGCTGATCCTAAGCAGTGGGAAATATCATAGAGGTATCAGAGAATCATGGAATGATTTAGATTGGAAGGCACCTTAAAGACCGTCTAGTTCCACCCCCCTCCCCCTGCACCCCCTGCCATGGATCTTCCACTAGACGGAGTTGATCAAAGTCCCATCCAACCTGGTCTTGAACATCTCCAGGGAAGGGGCAACCACATCTCAGGGTAACCTGTTCTAGTGTCTTATCACACTCTGAGTAAAGA